AGCGCGCCCGGAACCGCTCCGCCTCGGCCCGCGCCTCGCGCCCCCTGCCCGCCGGCGGTGGCGGCCGGGCGGGACCCTCCCGCGTAAGCCCCGCGGCCTCGGCGCGCCCCGCGCCCCGCACCCACCGGTGATGGCGGTGAACTGCTGGACCAGCGCCCTCAGCGCCGCGGCGCCCGCCGAGCCCCCGGGCGCCGCCATCTTGCCGCCGCCGCACCACAACACACGCGCCGCCGGCCGGCGCGCGCTGCGCATGCGCGGGGCCCGCCCGCGCGCGCGCCCCTTCCCCGTCTGCCGCCGAGAGGGGTGGGGGGGGGGCTCGGTTACCGTGGTAACAAGCCCCGCCCCCTCCGGCCGCGCGGGAGGCGGGAGTTGCCGTGGCAACGCCCTCCTTCCTCTCCCCGCCCCGCCGCCTCGACGGCTTTCCCTGGGAATGGCCCCGGAATTCCCGACCCGCCACTTCCAAGGGGGACACGGGCCTTAGAGGCGGACCGGCACTCTCAGGACACGCACCCGGGGTTCCCACGCGGATTTCCCCCATCACAGAGGCCCGCGGCGCGGCGAGGGGCTGGGCAGGCCGCGGGCCGAGTGCAGATCCAGGTGCTGTGAGCAGGGGGACACCCAGGAATAGCCCGGATCACCCACAGGCCGGGGCTGACCTGCTGGAGAGCAGCGCTGCAGTGAAGGACCTGGGGGTTCTGACCGGCAACCAGCTATCCCCGAGCCGGCAGTGTCCTGGGGCAGAAGGACACTGGGAAGAGCACTCCCAGCACGCCAGCGACTGATCTTGTCCCTCTGTCCAGCCCTGGGAGTGCTGTGTCCAGCTCTGGGCTCCTCAGGAGAGGAGCACATGGAGCTGCTGAGCAGATCTGGGGGAAGCTGTGGAGATGCTGAAGGGCCTGGAGCATGTGGGTGCCCAGGAAAGGCTGAGGGAGCTGGGGCTGCTCAGCCTGGAGAGGAGCCCCAGCTGAGAGGGACCCTCAGCCCTGGCTGGCCCTGGCTGCAGGAGGGGCAGAGCAGGGCCCGGGCTCTGCTCCAGCCACAGCAATGGCACCAGAGCCACGGGCAGGGACTGAGCCCAGAAGTTCCACCTGGACACGAGGAAGAACTTTCCTGGGCAGTGACAGAGCCCTGGACACATCCCAGAGAGGGTGTGGAGCCTCCTCACCGGGGATATCCCAGAGCTGTCTGGACACAATGTGTGCCATGGGATCTGGGATGGCCCTGCTGGAGCAGAAGGGACCCACTGTGGTCCCTTCCAGCCTGTCCCATTCTGGGATTCTGTGGGGCAGGACCTGAGGTGGTCAAGGAACAGCTCATCTGCACCAGTCCAGGGAGCCCTGCCAGGGCACCCTGCCATCACTGTCACAAAGCCAGAAGAGGACACCCTTGGATTTGTCCCCACCTACCATACCAGGTGTTTCTGATCCCCAGGCCACCTGAAGGAATGTCAGGAAAGGAATGTTTTACTCCTTTCCAGTTTCCCCACACAACAGGAATGTGGCTGCCTTGCTGCTGAACACTTTGCCAGTAACACTTGTCAACTCAGTACCACAGAAAGCCGACATTTCCCTAGAATTCTAATAATTTATTACCTCACTGCCATGGAAACAGGTCCATCTGTTCCCTCTCTTATTGCCTCCCATCCCCACACCAGCTCTGGTGCTCAGAGAAGCAACAAGCCTGTGAAGTATTTGGGGTTTTGGCACTTGTTTTGTTTTTCCTGGCAGTTGGATGAGCTGAACTTGTTCACAAACAAGACAAATTAATCTCCAGGGCTGAAGGCAGGTGAGCAGCAGTGAGCTGCTACACCAGCCCAGACATCTCAATACAGACTCCTGCTTCACCAACACCAGGAAAACAAAGATGATTTCACCTCCTTCAAAGGAGCCACAGGGTCAGAAACAAGCTGTTGGTACAACCAAAATCCACGCAGCAGTGGCCAGATCCCACCCTCTAACAATGAAGATCTAAAAGAATAAGCCAAGTTATGCCTGGTGAGGATTATTGTGCCAAGGATATGGTGAGGAATGGGATCATTTGGGGGCTTGCATCATCCCACCTCAGATAAGGCTGCTGCTATAGGTGACAGGTTTTGTACATTTTGCAGTTAAGTTTGGTTTTTATCTAACAATCAATTTTTAGTCCTGGTTTGGTTTTTTTTTGGGTGTTTTTTTTTTTTTTTTGCATTCTGCTTTGAAAATGGGGTTTGTTTTTTTACAGGCTTACTCTGACTGGAAAGGCTGAGGGTCACCAGCATGGAAACAGTCAGTAGCTCTGCCTTAAAAAAAAAAAAAAAACAAAAAAAAACAAAAAACCCTTTAATTAAGTTTTTTTCACATCATGGGTCAACCAGAAAATAATCCCAACTGGGTCAACCAGAAAATAATCCCAACTGTGTTAAGGATTAAGGAAGAACATACTGAAGAAAAGCTTCCAGAACAATGGCTGAGGCAGCAGGAGAAAAAGCAAAGGATTTGCCACTAGTTACCTGTTGTAATTTTCCCAAAAAACATCTCTGAACAGAACATTTATTTATTTATTTATGAGGAGCCCACCAATGATAAGATGTGCAGGCTTTGGGGGAAAAAAAATCCCAACAATTCTTATTTTTGACTCAGTGTGCTGGTCATGCTTTCCGTAAAATTTGGTTTTTTAAAACTTAAACCATCAGAAGATGCTGCTGAAGAAACAAGTCTGCTAGGAATATCCTAGAACAGAATTAAAGTCATCAATGGGGTTCAAAAAAAGGACAAAACTCAAACATCTGCTGATTTTGATGACTAGCACACACCCTTCAGCACTGCAGCTGGCACTTGGCTCCATTTCAAACACAGACAGTGCAAAAGTAGCTCAGAAGAAGCAAAGAAAAGCCAAAATATGGCTTCATAAAACAGATGAAGCAATTAGCAAAACTTCCTCTGCATAGTAGGATCTGGTTGCCTCTTCCTCAGCCTCAACTTCCTACAGGCCTCAGCACCTCCATGCCTAAATTACAGTATTTTTTGAGTTGTTTTAGTTTTAAAGCCAACAGGAACAGTATTTAGTAGTGCCCTCTAAAAGTGGAAGGGAACAGTTACAGCCAGGCAGGGCAGTTATGTGAATCTCTAATTACAGTTATGTCATTACTGAACTCCAGTCTTCAGTTGCTTCTTTCCCCTTTAACTTTCTCCATCATAACTGGCTTCTGGACTATTGTTTTAATCACACTCAAACCAGTTAGAGTATGAAAATGAAACAGCATTAAGTATAGTAACACCACTGTACATTCATATGTACCATTAACAGGACATTAACAACAAAAGAATCTTGTTCTTAACAACAGGGAAAATGGGATCTGCAGGAGGGATCTCTGTGAACAGAGGGGAATGCCCACAGCCTTGGCATCCATAAAAGATCCTTGGCTTTGTCAGGGGAGAATGACCTGTTTCTTTCCTCTTTGTCTGAGGGAGGGGTTAGCACATGAGAGTGAAAGAGTGGCTGTCTGCTTACACTAGTGTTAATGGGTGTGCCAACAATGCAATTCCAGCAACAGCCTAAATTCCAGCAAGGTGCTTCAATTTAGAGAACAGTGGTTGTGCTGAGGGAAGCTTCAACCTTGCAGCTGACAGCCAGCTGGGAATACAGACTCGTTTTTCATTTGTTTCCTCCATGGAATGTGCATCTTTTCCATTAAAGGCTTCAGATTCTCATTTTCAGATCAGACCATCAGTTATCATTGCTTTCCAACACTGCCAGTATTCACATTCCAAACCATGTAAATGCAAATTAGAAAATAAGAAATGCTCCGATTCCTGCAAGAAGTGCTGCAAGTGCTAGAAAATAATATTCAAGAAAGGAACAATTAAAAAACGTTACATTCTGGGTGTGTATGTTAGAACTTCTCAGAACTCACAGCGCCACTGCCCAAAGTGGTTCCCTTCCAAGGCAACCACTCAAAACCGCTTAGGGAAGCTTTGCCTAGCACAGGAGAACATCACCACAGTTCCCATTCCCATTCCACCACCTGTCCATGGCTCTGATCTACTCTGCAACAGGGCTTTTAAACATCTGCAGGATTGTTTTTTGCTTGTTCTTAGGCGGTGAACAAATATCATTTGTGTCACTGGTATTAACCACACAATTCAAAACCTTTCCTTCCTTGATGCTGGGGGATTTCACCCGGACCCTGGCAGGGGACTGCCAGTTTTCATTGCAGGAACCTTTCCGAGCCTTGTGGTGATTGGTTTCAGCCTGTGTTTTTGATCCCTTTGAGTCTTTTGCCCCCTTGGAATTTTCCTTCCTGGCAGCAGAGGCTTTCCCACACCGAGGTGGTTTGGTGCGAAGCAGATATTCGTCTGGAGAGCCCTTCTGTCTGTTCAGTGTCCTTTCCTCCTTGTCCAGCTCCTTTTGCAGCTGCAGAGCCAGGAGCCTGTCCTGCTCCTCCTGCCTGCGCCTTTCATAGAACTCCTGCTCAAAGGCTCTTTGTGTCTGCAAGTTAAAATCATTCATCTGCTCTCCTTGCTCTTCTACACTTTCTGAAAAGGTTCTTCTCCTCTTGTCAATCATGTCCAAGTCAATCATGGCATCAGCTGGGGCCTCCACTAGCTTCCTTTTGGGAGTCTCCTTAGAGTTCTGTGGCCTCTCTGGTATCTCTTCATGTGAGAGTCCAGCCTCCTTCCCCAGGCCAGGCAACACAGTCTGGCTGTCAGACATCACACAATTCATTCCTAACTGACCAGAGGTACAAGTTTCATCAGACTTTTCAAGGTTTACCCTTTGGACAAGTGTCAAATTGCCACTGTCTGACTCTATTCCACCATCATCTCCTTTGGATCTAAGAAGAACTGTCCTAGACCCTTCCTCTTCTGTGGTTCCATGAAGTGCATCTGGAACTCCATCTTCTAAACCATTTGGTCCTGGTGTTTTTTCCTGCTTGACAGTGGCAGTCTCACCTGAAGCTGAGGCACTGAAATAGTTCATGCATGATTCCAAAAATGAATCCTTAGCTCCAGAATCTTTATTTACACTGGTCAGCTGTGGAGACAGGGTTGGCATTTCCTCTTGCTCATCCTGCACTGCAGAACTGCTGCCTTCATTGCTGTTGGAGTCCTGAAGAAAATGGAGACACCACTAATGAAGTAAATTTATCAAAAGCCCATGGGTGTGAATAAATACCAAACTCACTTCTCATGGCTGCATTGCCCCTGAGTGCTCTGGGATAGCAACTCAGATACTTCTCTTTATAAAAAATACCTGACTGTTTAATAATAATTAAAATATTTAAAATTACTGCAGAAACCCAGCTAAAGGACTGAAACCACAATTGCAGCATTTTCCTCTTATCAGTGATTCAGACTAAATGTACAAGCCTGCTCATCTTCTTTGGAGGCCTTACAGGAATGATCAGAAAGACAGCCATGGAATGATGTAAATCAGGCTGCACCCTCTCCCAGCAGGCTCCAGAACTGCCAATCATGAATACCAAAGGTAGCTTAAAAAGGACAATATAACCTGCCCAGTGCCAATGTGCAAGGGGAATAGAGGACTGGAACCCTATAGGCAAGGGGAAAATATCCCATAATTACTAACTGTGAGATTTATAACAAAATGATTCCTGTTACCCCAGAGACAGAGTTGCTCCTGACTCTTCCTGTGGTACTGGAGAACGATGCTGATCCCAACATACTATAGTTCTTTGGAGACAGATACCTTAAAAAGGAAAAAAGGATACCCCTTTAAACATTTTGTCCTTGAATTGTCAGTCCTTTGCATTATTCAAGATCTTCAGGTTCATTCTGACAAACAAAAAACAACAAGAAGGCAAGTGTTTCCCTTCTCCTCCTATGAGGAAATGTTTTAAACTTCAAAACTTCCCATTTGCCCCCAGTTATCTCAGGATGCTGGCCTACCGCATTCCAAAGAAGCAAATGGGGCAGAGGGACACTGGAAAAGGCCAATAATTAAAGAAACACTTGGCTGAATCCCTTACTTCTGAATGTCTCCAGAGTTGCTTGGTTTGTTCTTTGCCTTGCTCAGGTTCAGTGGGGATGTCTGAAGGGAGAGGCTGTGTGCTGGTGTCGGGCTGCCGGGCACGTGTCCCTCAGGATCCTCATTCTTCCAGACAAGTAAAAATAGCATTAGGCAAAACAAAACACAACACAAACTGCAGAACCTCAGGGAACTACTTGGGTTTTGCTGCAGAATTAGTTGCTGTTGTCCAAAGAGTTCTAGAACTGTGAGTAACGGATGGTTAACAAGAAAGAAATGTTACCTGTTCCAAACACCTTCCTGGATCTAGCACTGAGGGACAGAGGCTTTGCTCAATAAGTACACAGGTTTCATCATTGAGTGGCAAAAATTCAACTAAGCAAAACAAATCAATAAAACAAAAAACAAAAAACAAAAAACAAAAAAAAAAAAAAAAAACCTCCAAAAGGTAAGGTACATTTTCACTGCGTGCTCCTTTCTTCCAGTACAGGTTACACATATTCATTTCTTCCAAAGAAGGATTTAAAAAAAGATGAGGAAAAGGAAGCATACAGCAGAAAATCAATGTTTTAAAATGTTTCACAATGAAAACATGCAGCACACATGCTGGGTGCTGGATTTCAAGTGTGCATTACACAGGCTTCACCCTCCTCCTAGCTTTTCAAAAATTAATGGTCAATCAAGGCTTTAAAATAAATTGAAACTATTCCAAATTTTAATATTTGCTCTGACAAGTCCAAGTTGCTTCCACTATATTGATACTTGCTGCTGTCTCATTTGATCCTAACTCACCAGACTGTTACTGAGCTGCCAGGCCAGCTCTTCATCTTCCTTCAGCTGCTTCTCCATCTCCTTCCGTCTCTCTTCTGCCAGCCTGTTCTCCTCCTCCTCCTCTGCCAGCAGCCGCTGGATGTATTCCTCACTGGCTTTGTTCTCCTCCTGTTCATGTGCTCGCCTTTCTGCCTCCACCTAAACCAGATGTTTGAAAAAATCCACCTGGTTACTACTGCAGGGCCACACTGTACACCAGGACCTCTCAGCTGACACTGCTTAAACGTGAACCATTCACTGTTCACAAAATACAGCAGCATTTCATTGCACAAGTCTCAAAGATGTAAGACTCACATGGATACTGCGCGTAGAGCCTTGGGTTCGACCACAGTGGCAAACCTTTTGGTTTCTCTAGATCATACAGTTAACCTGCAAGGCTAAACTGCAGTCTTCACCTTTTCAAAGTGTTAGTAACAAAAATGCATGGAGGTACAGAGAAAGTGGGATTAAAATTCTGTTTAAGGCTGAATCCTAGCCATCCCACAGCATTTGCTCAACTGCTTTTATCATTATATATCTCAAAGACAGCACATCTCTCTTCTAGAAGAGTGCTGCTCTCCTGAAACGTGCAAAACCCAAAGCAGCAGGCCAGGAATTTTACATCTGCCTTTCTTACAGCAGGCATGCTGAGAGATCAGTTACCAGCAACTCCATGAGGAGAGCAAAGTACTTCAAGAGTAAAGCTTTCTTTGGAAATTCCCCCCAGTCCTCTGCTTCACGTGCTCCTGTAATCACCAGCAAGGGGCTCTCAGGGAAAGGTGCATTCCCATATATTCCAACTCTAAATCTTAATACTACTGTGTCTGAATTGAAGGAAGGATCCTTAAATAGGCCAAAACTGAGAATTTTTTAAAATCTTAACTGATTTTCAAAATAACAGAGTGAACAAAGAAGAGAGAAAATGCTGTAAGTTCATTATTGAAGGTTATCTAATTGAGGTCTCTTACTCGGAGGGAAATCAAGAAGATAAATATAAAACCAAAACCCAAACAATTCCAAATTTCTACATTTGCTACTTTTATACACATTGACTGAGAGATGAGGTAGGAGGTATAGATCAAGAATGTCACCTCATGTCAAACACAAAGAAATCTCTTCCACCAATGTAATTCATTATTCAGGAGTGACCAGTATGTCCTTGCAGCTGCAGTGCCCTTTTATGTATCTTCACTATTAAATAAAATTACAGCTGTTTCTGGAAACAATTCAAATAACTGGATACAAAGCATTTATGCTTTTTAAACATATTTTTAGACTTACCTTACTAATCTCTGCCTCATATTCCTGCCTCAGCTCCCCAGGCTTGCTCAGCTGGTGCTGCGGCTTGGGGACACAGACTAATCAAGAGGAAGGAGAGGAAAAACCAAAGTCAACAAAGTCATGACAGTCAACAACAAAGGATTTTAACAGCAAAGGATTTTAACTCCATACCCTGTCATGGGAATGATTTGACTTAAATCAAGTGCTGTGATTGAAAAAAGGAAGGAATAAAGCAAGAAAACACCAAGGAATAAAGTTTGCACAGTAGCAAAGCGTGGTGTTACAGAGTGGCAGGAACAGGCAGTGTTTCCCAAGCACTGTATATAAAGCAAATACAGTGGAACAAGTCTCCCGGAGAAACTGTGGCTGCCCCATCCCTGGAAGTGTCCAAGGCCAGGCTGGATGGGGCTTGGAGCAACCTGGGCTAGTGAAAGGTGTCTCTGCCCATGGCAGCGAAGTGGAATGGGATGATATTTAAGGTCTCACCCAACCCAAACCATTCCCTCATTCATTCTCTGTTGGTACACTGACCATAATTTGTGTATTTCACTCTTTTTCATTAAAAAGACCTCAGAACACTGCAAGTGGAACAAGCTGCCCTATGGCTAACCTACCAAAATGTCCCAGAGGTGCTTGTAACATCATAAACCCCAAAATCCTTCTTCAAAAAGTTAATCAGATTTCACTTCCTTCTCTCTGACACCACAATTTTCAACTCACAGATTCTTGCATTGACTGAACCCCTGGAATTTCAACCAAACTAATTAACACCTAAAAATCTTTTAACCACTTCACTCACTTGACCTGATAAAAAAACACACACACAGACTCACTCTGCTTGCAGATGCTACAGCTGCAAATGAGCAATGAACAAGGCCAGGCACTGATACCCCACACCAAAGGCATGAACAAATACTCACTGAAATCACCAGAAAATGTAATTTTTATCCTCTGTGCTACAAATAAAGAAGGCATTGCCCACCTGTCCCCTGCCTCTTTTGCAGGAGAGCTCTGTCTCTGCCAGCAGTAACACACCTGCCTACCCACAGCTCTGTATTTCCCAACACCTGAAGTCACTCACAGTAATTCCTGTGGCAAAGCAGAGACATCCCAGGACAAGTGACATTTCACTTACTCTCCTCATCCAAATCCTGTCCGTTCATCCTGCGCTCGCACTCCTCTGGGTAATTCTTCTGAATCTTCTCCCAGAGCTCCCAGTTGATGAGAGTATTTCTGCGGGTATTGTAGCGTGCCCAGGAAGAGACTCGACGCCTGCAGAAGGGGCAAGAGAGGCTGGCCTTTTCCACGGTCATCTGGAAGCAGGAATTACAGAGGGTATGGCTGCATGGCAGCGTGACAGGCTCCACAAAGATCTCCATGCAAATTTGGCAGAGGCAGTCGGACAAGGAAAGCGGGGCCGTGGATATCTTCGACATACTGACTTGAGGGAGAGGAGCAGCACTTAGGACAACATCAGGGCCTGAAAGCAAAAACAAACATTTATGTTCCTTATGGGAAGTAAAATAAAGGAAAATACAAAATGTTTTACAGCTACTTCAAGAAAGTGTTAGTAGGTTTAGAAGCCTGCTTAAGTGGTTGCTTTTCTCAGGGCCTTAGAGATTCCTGAGGAAGAAGCAGAGCTTTACAGAAATCATGGAAAAACTGTACCAGGTTTTCCTAGTGCAGTTTCCTGTGAGCTGTAACAGATGCTTTCGGAATAGCAAGGAGGTGGTAAGGAGAGGGGGGAAAAGAAGGTGAGAGTTCTTCTGGCCACCTCTGTTACTCCCCTCTTCTTCCATCATTCCCTGTCTATGATAAGATGTGCTGGATGTTATTCCAGTTACCTTAACCTTCCATTCACTCATTTTTTCAGTACATGCACATCCTTTGAGAGCTGCTTTTGGCACAAGCTTGCTTTCAGCATGTCCTGAAGGTGAAATACACCAGAGCAGAGAAGCTTCTTCCTCATTAATTTGCTTGTTTAAGCTAGGACTAAAAAGCTAAAATTCCTTTTTTCTTAAGATAAATGAAGAATTAAAACTTCAGCACCTCCTTGTATGACTTGACACTGTGGGGGTCATCTGTGTCCTCACGATTTTTCCACTTGGCCCAGCAATACTGTGGGAGAGAAAACAAAAGACACATATAGCAAAAGCATAAACCCACCGACATTTAAGTTACAAGCTTCTTAAACAGGCAGCTTCAGAAACAGGCGGCCCTTGAAAGAAAGGCTGCCATTCCTCACAGAGAACTCTCCAGGGAGACAAATACACGTTAAGGCGAGTTTTATTATTTCCGCTATTTTTATTGACAGAAAATACCGCCCAGGACGTCGGCGCCCAGCGAAAAGGGAGCCCCCGTCCCCGTCCGGCCCCCGTCACCCCCAGCCCCTGAGGGTCCCCGCGGGACCGGCACCCACCGCTCCGGAGGCCGCCAAAGGCCGCGGCTCCCGCAATGGCGGCTCCGCTCCGCCCCTCACTCGGGAGCCGTTCCCGCCGCCCGCCTCAGGGCTCCGCCTCCTCCTCCTTTGTCTCCTCCTTCTCCTTTTCTCCTTCCTTCTTCTCCTCCTCCTTCTCTTCTCCTGTCTCCTCCTTCTCCTCTTCCGCCTGCTCCGCCGAGCCTGCTGGGACACGGAGGCCGCGGGCCCTCAGGGGGAAGGCGGGCTCTGCTGTCGTGATGGGCAGGGCGGGAATGGCTTCCCACAGCCAGAGAGCAGCGTTAGGTGGCATGTTAGGGATAAAACCTTCCCCGTGAGGGTGCTGCGGCGCTGGCACAGCCTGCCCCGCGGAGCCGTGGCCGCCCCGTGCCCTGCAGCACCCGAGGCCGGCTGGGAGCCGGGCTTTGCTCCCTGGCCTTGGTCCCTGCTTTGGTCCCTGGCTGAGCTCACCTGGCCGCAGGTGCCCACGGCACTTCCCGCCTCAGGTCCTCCTCCAGCATCTCGGCCTGCCGCTCAAAGTCGTGCGCCAGGGTCTGCAGGCTGGAGTCCAGCTGTGCGAACCGAGCCTCCAGCGACAGCAGCCTGCTTTCTACTCTGGGCGGTGGAAAACGAGAGTTTAAGGGAATTTCGGAAGGATTTGGGGCTTTCTGCCGTGACATTGCATTGTGAACAGTTTCAGACCCCGTTCTGGGGGTCCTCCCATGATTTGTGAGAACAAACACAACTAAAAGTCAAGGTTTGCTGTCACGTCTTTTTGGCCGTTGCCTGGTGCAGAGATCTTGACATCTCCAAATACAGCTGCACAATGAGTATGTAGACATATCTGTGGCTCTCAACCACATGTATTATCAGTGGCACAGGTTTTTCTCTAACACATTTTGAGGTGATTTATCTTTTATTTGTAATGTCATGGTCTTTTGAACCATTTTCATTTAACATTGAGCAGAACTTCTCCTTCCTCCTCTGGTTAAAAAATTATGCAAATAATAAACAAGCCACTTACAGTGTTTTGTTGTTTTGTTTTTGTTTTTTTTTTTATAGGACTGTCCTTCCATGGAACAACTGTAATAAAAACTACTTCATAGCTTGTATTTATTAACTGCTTTTTCATTATTTGCTATCTGTTGTGGTTTTCCCTATTTAAAATTGTAAATTATAAAGATGAGGTTTTGAGTTTTAAGCCACTCCACTTTTGCTGAAGAAAACTGCCTGGTTTAAAAGAACTTGCTGTATTGAGAGAATATACAAGGGAATGCCAGTATTTATTTTTGTATCCATTTCTCTTTCCTGGGGAGACAGGGTGTGCTAGGCTCCTGTCACTATGGGTGGTTTTTATAAACCTAGTTTTCTCACATTTTCCTCACTTACCTGATTGACATTGAGCTGTGTTCTTGAGAATCCTGAGGATCTGAAAGCTAATGTAAGTAATTCAAAGTTCCTTCCTAAGTACTGAACAACTATCTCAGTACTATGTAGGCAATAGTGATTTACTAGCAGAGCATCACCTACTCCTTACAGAATTTTTTGTGATTTTTCTTTTTATTTTACTGGCAAAACTTCAAGCTGTATCAGTTAACAATAACTACACTATCAGCAAATATTATTACCTACATAGTTTTCCTTATCTTTTTTCATTCCTAGTTTGTTCCACTGCTTCTGTGACCTACCTGTGTTAAACATTCTGTTACCTGTATCTTTGGATTAACTTTTTGTAAGGACAAAACACACAGCAGCTGGTGATGACATTAAAAAATAAAAAGCCAAAACAAAACCCTTCAAACATTTTTCCAATCTTTGACGTGTATCCCACGGTATTTTAATGCCTGTTGTTCTAAGAGATGGACCAAAAATGCCATTTTTTCCTATCAGCAGCTCCTCCCTCTCCCTGCCTGCCTCTACTCCTGCCTCCCCTTCTCCAAACCAAACCTTACTTTGGATTCTGTCTGCAGCTGACCTGAATGAGGAGAAAAAAAAAGATTTAACAGTGGCATATTTTACTACGTATCCTCGACCTTAATTCATTGTCTGGCCGCTTGTGCAGATCCTTGTCTAATGATTTTCTGCTGTTTCCTGAGGCTAGAGGCTTCCTCTGCAGCCTGGCGAAGTTCCTCTTAATGTTGTAGGACTCCTGTTGCTTCAGCAAGAATTTTGGGACGAAAATAGAACTTTATTTGGAAAACTAAGCTGGTGTCATGTAGAAATGTAGGGAGTTCAGAAGAACTGGAAGGATTGATGTGTCATAATTGGATCGAATCTGTCAGCACAGAGAGAGCAAGTGCAGAAACTGAGGTGAGTTGGGGTTTGCTGTGACTTTCAGAGCTGGGTTGTCAGATAATGAGTGTTCTTGCCCGTGAATTGTTGGTCTGCATCTTTTTATCATGGTAAATAAGCTTCCTCACAGCCCATTCTCCAACTTCCTCCTCTACAAGTAAGGGTGAAGTTATCTAAGATCTCATCACTAATGGTACTCAGCGCAGCAGTGGTTTCTCAGCAGGCTTCAGTCCAATGCTTTACTATTTGACCAGTTTTGTCTCTCTAACATTTTTTTATTGCCTGTCTGTAAATTAATCTTCTGTATTTTTAAGCACCTGCAACAAACATTTCAGCATTTGCTAATTTTGGATCTAAAAACGTCTGTTCAGTTATACCATGGTAGATCCATAACTGAACTCCCACAGCTGTAACTGAATTCTGATAGACCGAGTGCTGCTGCCTCTTGATCTAAGTTTGGAATGAAAAGAGGAAGAATGGATTAAACCTCCTGTTTTCATTTCCATCATGACCTCTGAACACTTTTTCCTTTAATGTAAGTGAAATTACCACTAAGTCAGTGACCTCTAACTCTGACTAGTGTACAAACAAACCACATCCCCATTCTTTACCAGAAAGCTCTTAAAATTCCTCTCTTGTTAGCACAGAGAACATACTTGGAAGCCATGCAGTAGAAGCTCCAGCATTCCCAATTCTCTCAAGTGTGCTTCTATGTAAAACCTTATCTGCTATTCAGGCATTTACAGAAAATGACATTTTAGAGCTGTCACTCTGTGGGTTTGATTTTCCAGGCCAGTGCAGCATCCCACATCTGAGCTCTCCCCATTCCCTCACTCCATGGTACATTAGACACATACTTCTTCAAGCCGTTTCCCACAGAATTAATTTTCACTTTTTTCTTTCAGGAGTTGTTTCATCGTTTCTCCCTCTGGTCAGGTCTCCAATAGCTACTTTTGTGTTCGCCAGTGTGTGAAGCAGAGTCATAAAGGCTGTGGGTGAGCCAACAGTATGAGCGGTATCTCGACAAGAGGAGCAGTTTCTTTCCAAGTCTGTCAGCTGTCTGTCTGTCAACACATAATCATTCATTTCCTGAGCAGAAGTACTGCATCCCATCAGCTGTGATACTCTTGACAGGGATCCTTTTTACTGCAGGTAAACCACAGTTGTATGTATGACACCTAATTTGACTTTTAAATGTCTCAACACTGCATAGTTTGCCTTTAAATGTAACATGTTGTAGAATCCCAGAATGCTTGGGGTTGGAAGGACCTTAAAGCCCACCTCATTCCACCCTCTGCCATGGGCAGGGACACCTTCCACTGTCCCAGGTTGCTCCAAGCCCCATCCAACCTGGCCTTGGACATTTCCAGGGATCCAGGGGAATCTACAGCTGCTCTGGGCACCCTGCGCCAGGACCTCACCCCCCTCCCAGTAATGTGAAAATCCAGAGCGTGGGGACAGTATCCTGCCTCCTCTAACTGCTGAGAATTTCAGACCCTCTTTTGATTTTTTTTTCTGAACATCCATGCTCATATCTTTATATCTGCTCTGAGCCACCACCACTGGTGCCTGCTGCTGCACAGCCGAGCACGGATCGGTGCCAGCGGGGGCAGCTGAGGCTGGATTATTTTTCAGGAAGTCCATGAACCTGTTGGTCACGTTCCTCTGCCAAGTGCAGGCTTTGGAAATGGAGGGTGAATCAGCATCACCTATGACCTGATTCCCCAGTAATGGTGATTTGCTTTCCTTAAACTTTTAAGGTCCATTCTTGTGGGGTTTTATTGCTCGTGATAACCACTTATTCCCTATCTTTGAACCGTCCTCTGAGGCATGGTCTGAAAATCAGAAGTTCACCTCAAATCTCCAATTAGAACAGCAAGCCCAAATTTCACAGAAACACAGAATATGCTGAGTTGGAAAGGATCCACACAGATCCAACTTCTGGATGCACTCCTGTCCCCCCGCAGCAATCCCACCACCCAAGAGCATTGTCCAAATTTTTCTTGAGCTCCGGCAGCTTTGGTGCTGTGACATTCCCTGGGGTGCCTCTTCAGTGCCTGACCACCTTCTGGGAGAAGAATGTTTTTCTAATATCCAACCAAAACCTCCCCTGACACCTTAAGGCCGTTCTCTCAGGTCCTGTCACTGGGCACCACAGAGATCAGTGTCTGTCCCTCCTCCTCACCTCATGAAGAAGTTGTAAACCTCAGTGAGGTCTCCCCTCAGTCTCCTCCAGGCTGAACAGACCAAGTGCCCTCATGCAGCTGGGTGATGGAGGAACTGCCCAAATCCTGCAGCAAACAGCCAGGATGGCAGCCAGGGAATGAGCACCACCATGGAGCTGATGGCTCTGTCCCTCTTTCCTCCCCAGCAAGTGAAGGAGAGATTATTTCAAGAACTGTTCATGAGCTCCTCCCTGCATACACCCGATGTCTGCTCACACCCTGCTGCCCACAGAAGTTTCCAGAGCAGCACAGGTTAGCCTGGAGTGGTGTCCCGTGCCCCAGCCCTCCGTGCCCTCCCTGTCCCCTCCCTAGCCCCGCAGGACCTGTTCAGCGTCTCGTTCAGGGAGCGCAGGGAGATGCTGGCTTTCGCCATCTTCCTGGAGAACACCAAGACGAGAAATAAGAGCTGGAGCGGGCTCGCTCCTCTCTCCTGTAGCCGGCAGCAACAGCAGGGACAGGGGATCCGAGTCCTGCAGGAGGTTGTTTGTTCCCAGGCTTTTTATAGCCTGTATATCCAAATATAGGTCATGGATGCACCAACACACGTTCATGGACATATCACACACTGAACCACACAGCCCAACCCGACCCCTTCCTCTGCCCCACTGATCCCATGTCTTCACAGATGAACTAATTCACAGGTAAAACAAAAGGGAGCAACTACAATTTTCAGCCTTTTTTTTTTTTTTTATTGCTGTGTTTTGGCTTTGATTTGCTGTTGTGCCCACCAGATCATGTCTTGGGCCAAAGTCTCCTGCTGGGAAAGGCTGTACAAGCAGATTGCCTTTGGTTTTTTTAATTAAAAAGGTATGAAGGTAAAATCTGATTTGGATGAGAATGAGTTTGTGTTTGGTGGCAGGGAGCTGCTTTGAGCAAAACCAAGACAGTTGGAATCTCCTCCATAAAGGGTGGAGAGAGGCAACACAACCAGATAATGATTTGCCAGAGCTGGGTATGTAAAAAAAAAGAGCTAGAAATGTTTCCAATATAATATGAGTCTGGTAACAACCCAGTTGGTGAAACACAGCAGAACAAACCCAAGCCTCCCATCAGTGCAGCAGGTCCTCAGCAAGCACTAGGAATTCAGTTCTGTGACAGGATAAGGATAGCCCATGAAAAAACCTCTTTTTAAAAAAATTATTTGCCCACTTCATGGGAAATCCAGCATGAACGGAAAATGTCCAGAGCTGTAACATTTCCACTTAGGTCTTCCTACCTTCAATCTGCAAATGAAGGGAAGCTCATAGCAAGCCAAGTTCTGCTCATTGTGTTTCAAAGCTTTGGGAAGACAGGAAGTATTTGGGTAAGTAGAAGCTGTGCCTTTGGCCCTTCGTATTCACCCTGTGATGGGGGTACAATAAACTTTTTGACACAATTTTGTGTGAGGCTGGCACTATTAGAGTGATTCTAAGGACAAAGGAACAGTGAGTGAGAAAGCATTTATTAAGACTAGTGTAATAGTTCTTTTTCCCTGGGATACACAACTAACTGACAGCTGACCCAGCAAACAGGTGTAACAGTTCCCCTGCTCCTTCTTTTGCTGCAGTGAAAAAATTCAGTTGGCAACCACAGGGAAACTCATTTGATTACTCATTAATTGATGCATCTCTAGTCTATGCAGCTGCTGACAGAGCGATGAAAACCAGATTCCACCATAACCAGTTCAAGCCAACTGGGACACATCTTCATGGGAGAACTCACACGGAGCACTGCAACAGCCCAAACTACACAGAGCTGAGCCAGTGACAGCCCTGCTACTGCTCAGCAGCCTGACTTAGCATTGTGGGTGTCTCCTGAGCACTAATTTTCTCCTCCAGCCTTAATTACATCAGCTTAGCCATGAACTAATGTTACCCCTAAATATAGAGACCCGTTTCACTTAAATTCAAGCAGCAAACTGCCAACCCTGCAAGAGAGAGTGGCTGTGAGCACAACAGCCACAAAGAACCAGCACGAGGCCAGTGCACAGCAAACCCCTTCCCTTCCCAGGGACCCAGAGGGGTTCACTGTCCAGTTCACTGTCAGTGGATATAACTGGCTCTGAGAAGTGGTTTTGTCCCCCAGACTTCTGTAAGCACCTGGCTGCCTTAAGGTTCTGGCAATGGATAGGCTGATACAGAGCTGCTCTGGTCAGCAACCAACACTCTCCTGGAGCCTTTGATCTCTGCACATGACAGCCAGTTCACCTTTTCTCCGTGCTCAATGCTGAGCTTTGGCACAACTCCAGGGTGTTCATTTGAGGTCGCTTTGTTGAGCTTCCCATCTTTTCTGCTGGAAGCAGCTGCTTGGGCTTTCCTCCTGTGCAGAGACTTTGCTGGACTTTTCTGCTGCTTCCCAATGTTGCTGCTGACATCCCAGAGCAAGACTTTCCCATCGTTTCCTCCAGACAACAACTGGTATGCCTCAGGCATAAAGAGCACCTGTGAGACTCCCAAGCTGTGAGCCTGGAACTCCAGCTCATGTTCAAACCTGGCACCGGTGACTCGGAATATTCGGATTTTACCATCCTGAGCTCCACAGCCGAAGACGTTGCCGCACGAGGCGACAGACAGGGAATGTGCGAGCGGCGGGTTGAAGAACTGCCCAGCTGACTGTGGGCTCTCTTCCTCCATGTCACACTCCTGCAGGTTCACGGTCCACAAGGGACGAACTTTCTGCAGGTTCCACAGCATGACCTGGAAAAAAACCCAGTAGGATGAATCAGTTGTGTGTTTTACTTCAAATGGGATCTTTAATAGTAAAATAAGCAACCACACTTCTTGTCCTAGCAGAGCAAAGGCTGTGCGTGAGTCCAAGGGGTGTAAGGCGTGGGGTTAAACTTGCCCTAGTAAATGTAGCAAATCTTTCTGGCCTGCCTTCCAAAGCCCCACCACCACACTCTGCAGTCAATGACTCAGACCTTCAGACCACGGAAGAGATGCAAACACTGCTCTAAAAGCTTTTGCATTCATCTCAGCAGTAGTAATCATGATACACTGCACATCAATTATTGAGAAGGAGGGACAGGGAAACCCTAGCAGTGAACAGAGATCATTATCATTCTGCATTTCTGTCTCTGCTGCTTGGCCTATAATAGTCACTTCCACGAACATGTCTGAAAAGTGGGACAGCAAAAGGCAAACAGCAGTTGAGGCTGTGGTTTTTAAACAGGCATATTTGTATTTATTTTTATATCCAGTGATTAGATCTGGTTTGTGCTATGGAGTAGGGCATGCTTTACCTACTGAGATGGGGCAGGTCGTGCTTTTAGACTTCCTTTTCCAATGCCACCCCACCTCCAAGCCCCCAGTGAAGAATCCCGTGTCTCTTGTACAGCTGTTCAAGCACCACAGATTTATACTGAGCCAATTAAAAATAATGCTCTCAAGACTTTTATAGGATCTGAATTGACAATGAGCATTCTCAAGGCCAACAGATTGAAAAGGACACGTCAGTCTAATGCAGCACTGGTGTACTGTTTGCTTCATAAAGCTAAGCTGCAATTTGTTATTAATAAAAATACTCCTTCAGTAGTAATCACCAATAAGAAGTCTTTAAATTTAGTTCACAAAAGAGCCTGGCTCTGCATTTCTGGAATCCAAATCACACTAAAACATCTGAAATATATTTCCTGTCACTTTCCTGTTTCAGTTACTGCTGTTGCTGCTGCACTAAAACTACTTCCACAACAACTGTGATTTACTGTAAATGAGAGGGGCTGGGTGATGCTTACAGAAAATACTCCTGTTTTCATCAGAGACAGGACTGCAACAATCTGATGAATCCATCAACTGCTGAAGAGTTTTCTGCAAACTAAGTATTTTCTGTCCTCATGGCATTTTCCTGCTTCACCAAAACTCCTGAAAGAACTCCAGGAACCTGAATTTCAGTTCTCATCAGCCACGGCTTCCCCGAGGGTTTGATAAGCCCAGGACATGTCTTGTAGAGCCCATAACTTGTCCAAAGGCATGGTGCAGCACAGGGCTTCAGGGTTCTGCAGCTAAGCTCCCCTTTGGGAAATTATATATTTTAAATACAGCCTCAATGCAGAATGATGCTCTTTTCGCTGTACAAAAGAACACTAATGAAATCCTGTTTTGGGATACTGACTTTCACCTAAAAACCGACTTGTTGAGCTACAATAAATGAAACCAGTATTAAAAGTCACAAAAATTAATCAGCTCACTTGTACCAAGTTCTACATAAATGTTTACAATTCTGATAAAAAGTTTCCAGCCACAAGCTTGTGTATCTGCATTTTAGGGACCAAAATTAAGCCAGCTGAGGGACTGAGTTGCACACACCACAACACTGAGTCTTTACTCCTCCCAAACAGGATTCATCCTCATGGCTTTAACACAGAAAAATACAGTTTATACTAAATATCAGCATGTATTTGCTCTAATGGGTGTGAGATGTACTTTGGTTTCAAGAACACAGGGGTGAAACTGCTCAAACCTGTCACACAAACTTCACCCTGACACCGCTGGAACCATAGAAACCTTCGAGAAGCGACAGTTTTCATATCGGGCTAAACCAGGAATGTGGTCAGACCTCAACCACTGGAAAGAAATTACTGAAAAATATCTGTTCTGGGCTTAACTCTCAGCATGTCCTTTGCATTTTTTTCTCAGAAATGCAAAGGACAAAGTTTTTCTCCTGATGAGGACAGGAAAGTTTAAAAGGCAAAGAACATTTCATGCTTCCAAGATGGTAACAGAACAAAGGATAAATTATACAAATCACTTGTCCTTCCACTTGGAAAGATGCTGCTCTACCTGCCTGCCTCAAGCACTGTGCCTTTTCCTCACCATCCTTTGCACCTCATCTGCAGCCACAACTGATCCCTAGGGACAGCTGCTGGTTTTGCTCAGTCCAACAAAGAGCTAGTACAGCACAAGTGAGCTTTGCAGTGTATTCTAATTTCCCCTCACCCCACTCACTTTTGAATTGTAAATGTCAATGAAGATAAAAACAGGGGCAGAAGCTGCTGAGTGGAACACAGCACCAACAGCCCCAACACTTAGGTTTTGGGCCAAAACTACTTCAGAATAGTGAGGAAGCTTTCCAGTGACTGCAGGCCGAACACCTTCGTGCTCGGTGAAAGTCTGCGGGTGCCTCACTACACAGGTGGGTAATTACTGTTTCACTTCATTAATAACCGTGCACATGTATGCAAATCACCTGCATGTCCAGTCCACAGGAAACCAGGCTTTGAGGCCGCTGAGGTCGGAAGGCAACAGACGAGCAGATGTTGGAGTGTCTCAAGGACCGGCTGACTTTCTTGCTTTCCAAGTCCACAACCTTGATGGTCCCCGAGTCATCGGCC